CCTCCCTCCCTCCCTTCCTTCCTTCCTTCCTTCCTTCCAAAGGCAGGGTCTCACTCTGTTACCCAGACTGGAGTGCAATGACATGATAATGGCTCACCGTAGGCTTGACCTTCTGGGCTCTAGCGATCCTCCAATCTCAGCCTCCTGTCTCAGCCTCCTGAGTAGCAGGGACCACAGGCACACTCCATCATACCCAGCTAATTTTTAAAAATTATTTTTAGGGATGAGGTTTCACTGTGTTGGAATAAAATATTGTTGGCATTTCCTGTCTTTCTCTGGGTTTACTGGAGAGGCAGTCTAAGATTCTTGAATACAGTGTCTGCTGCACCAACTTGGGGGTTTGTTAAAAATGCAGAATCTGGCCCTTGTCACAGCCGGACTGGGTTTTTATGCCCACTGCCCAGAAAAACCCAAGACTGACACAGCCATCACAGTGGAGAAAGAGTTTAATATCATTAAACAGCCAGGCAAGAAGGGTGGGAGATACTTCTCAAACCCACCTCCCCAAGAACTCACAGGCTAGGATTCTTTTATATATGCATGTATTTATGTATGTATTTTGACTCACGGTCTCACTCTATCACCCAGGCTGGAGTGCAATGGCATCATCAAGTTTCACCATAGCCTCTACCTCCTGGGCTCAGGCAATCCTTCTGCCTCAGCCCAAGTAGCTGGGACTACAGGAAGGCACCACCACGCCTGGATAATTAAAAAAAAATTTTTTTTCAGAGACAAGGTCTTTCTGTGTTGTTCAGGCTGATGTTGAACTCTTGGGCTCAAGCAATCTTCCTACCTAGACCTCCCAAAGTGCTGAGATTACAGACGTGAGCCACCGCACCTGGCCAGATGCTAGGGTTTTTAAAGGGAATTTAGTAGACGTGTGGGGGCTAGGGACTGATGATAGGGTGATGATGTCGTAGGGGGTATGCACATTGCCTTCATGTCACAGAGACAATTTCTGAGAGGGAGCCTCACAGGACCAGTGGAAACAGCTTCCACCGGTGTGTGTTCTGGGCCTGGGTGGGGCCTCAGGTCTGTCAGAGTATGAAGTCTGAAAAATATCTCAAATGCCATTCTGAGGTTTTACAATAGATGCTACCAAAAAGCAAGTTCCTTGACCATAGCTGTTGGCCCCTGGGCTGTGGGTCATCATAGGGGAAGTTGAAGAGGAAGGTGTGGGAGAGGTGAATCCCTAGAGGTTAGAGCCCCTCATCCTCTGTGTTTGTAGCTACCAGTCTTAGGCCCATTGTTTAAGAAGGAATATATTGATCAGTCTTTCAGGACAGTTTCCCCCTCCCCAGGGGTCAGAACAGGAAGATAATCAATGGTCCTCTGTTGGAGTAAAAGCAAACCTAGAAACAACAGATTTGTTCAGTTCTAACTGCAGCTGCAGCTTTTCAGGGCTCAGGTCTCTTCCACAGTTTTTACTCTGTGGCCAGATATTAACTTTATTATTATTATTATTATTATTATTATTATTTGAGTCGAGGTCTCACTCTGTCACCCAGACTGGAGTCCAGTGGCACAATTATGGCTACCATAGCCTCAGGTGATTCCTCCTGCCTCAGCCTCCCAAGTAGCTGGGACTACGGGAGTGAACCAGCAAACCCAGCTAATGTTTAGCATTTTTTTTTTTATAGAGACAAGGTCTTCCTATGTTGTCCAGGCTGATCTCAAACTCCTGGACTCAAGCAATCCCCCTGCCTCGGCCTCCCAAAGTGCTAGGATTATAGGCATGAGCCACCATGCCTGGCCTCTGATAGTAACTTTATATAGGTGAACTCACTCTTACCCCAGAGAATCTAATTCAGTGGACATGGGCTAGGATTTGGAAGGCGGTGAGATGTCCCCTCCCCAGACAGCCCCACGTGGAGCAGGTGGTTCTGTGATGCTCAGCGAGAGATTACTCTAAGGACATCCCGGCGTCCCCAGTTGATAACATATTTATGGAGGAAACAGAAATAGAAAATTACAGCCTGCTCTAGTGGAAAAAGAACTGGAAACACAGAAAGAAAATATTCCCCAAAATGGCAGCTGCCTGAGACTACTGACGAGAGCACGGCCTAATTCCATATTTCCCAGGATGCCCTGTAGCAGATGTATTAATTTGACAATCAACAAAATTACAAGTTTTTTCCCAAAGAAGTAAACAGTTTCCGCTTGGCTCCAGTTGGGCCGTCACTTGCTATGTCCTGGGAGTCAACACATCCCTCTATCCAGGGGACTCAGAAACCACCTCCCAGGCCAGGAATTCCAGAATCACTTCCTGAGGTCTGGGAGTGAAAATGCCAAGGCTACCTCAATCTCCCAGGTGTCCTAAGGTATTTATTGTCATGACTTACTGAAAGTAGTCACTGCTTGTAAGCTCTAAGTGCCACAAAGTACACTAAGATTTTTAAAATTTGCTTTCTCCGATCTAATCCTTGCCACGACCCTATTACTATCCCTGCCTGGTAGCCCCGAAGACAGAGGCTCAGAGGGATTCAGCGACTTGCCCCAGGGCACACAGCACTGAGGAGGTGGGACTCCCCCTCAGGCAGGGTGGCCTCCAAGGCCTGGGCTCTGCCCCATCCCCTCTCCCCTCCCTACCTGTGCTCCACGGGTGAGGACAGTCCCCACCAGAGCGGAAAAATTTAATTCCAGCGACCCTCAGACCAGGCACTGACTGCCACTTGTGTTTCCTGCAGAGGTGAAGGTGGTGGGTCTGGAGGGCACCGACAAGCTCACCATTCTCCGAGGCTGCCCGGGGTTGCCGGGGAACCCAGGACCCAGGGGAGACGCAGGCGCCAATGGAGAGAGAGGTATGTGATGGGGTGGGAGGAGGACAGAAATTTCGGGATTGGGACAGTAGTTGCTCTTGCTTTTCTGAAACTAGAGGCCAAATTGGTCAACATCCCTATCGTGGTTGGCAACTTTAGTCTTGGTCTTGTTGATGAAAAGATGCCAAACTCTGTAAAATATTTTGAGATGGTTTATTCTGACCCAAACTCGAGGACTGAAGCCCTGGGAACTCCCATCCCCAGGAGGTCCTGAGAATGTGTGCCCACCATGGCGGAAGGGTGGCTTGGTTATATACACTTTAGGAAGGCAGAAATTACAAGAAACCATCAATCAATACACGTGAGCTTTTCATTGGTTTGGCTCAGGAAGGAAGGACATTTCCAAGGGTAGGGGCGGAAGGTTTTCAGGTCACAAGTAGATTCAAAGATTTCTTGATGAGTGGTTTGGAGCTCCTAAATCTAAGGAAGATAGGAGAGGAGCTGTTTTGTTGAGATAAGGAAATGGAAAACTCCGGGTCTGTTGATGCTTAGATGAAGTCCTATATGTGGCAGACTTCAGGGAGGACAGGTAAGGGTCTTGAAAAGCTTTCTGGAGTCTGGGAGTCCCCAAGGGATGGCTCTGCAGAACCATAAAATACTTTGATTTTCTTCTTTATTTGTTGTGTGATGTTATACCAGAGTCAAGTTGGAAAACAGACTTTAGGGTAATAATGCCCTGTTTGGTGAGTCTGTATCAGGTGTGACTCTCCGAGCCTCTTAGTTAGGAGTTTGGATAAGAGATAAAAAGGTCAGACTTAGTCCCCGGCCCTTACTCAGAGATGACACCCACGGTCCAATTGGGGTCCTAAAGATGGAGACAGCTTCTCTCTGAAGTGTTTCTGAGCTCCCATTTGGGGATGGGATGCTTCCCTAGAGCTGTTTTCTAGCCCTTGACCCACCAGCTTGACTTGGCCATTGACAGGACTTCTTTCCAGGAACCTCCATCTTCTCACCTGAAAACTGGGGCCACCACTTTCTTCTATGCCTATCTCACATGGGGAAACTGAGGCTCAAAGGGGTCTGAAACTTTCTGAGTTCGCACACCAGTGAGGAGAGGAGCTGGGACTGAACCCAGGAGTGTTTCAGAGTACAGCCAGCACCCCTGAGCCCTGGGCTCTGAGCCAAAATCTGAGCTCTGTGAGTGGTCCTCCAGGGTACATACATAGCACCTCTCCTGTCAACATGAGAGTTCATGCAGGGGCCTGAGTTGGGTGGTTTTAAGTTCCCCTAAGCCTCGTATGAAGCAAGTGTGTACTAAAAGCTCAAAAAGGGAGCTGCCTTAGAGGGAGAGCTTCCCATTCCTGGAGGAATTCAAGGTGGTGCTTCCAGGTAGATAGGACAAGCTGGAACGTCTCTGTGACTCCCACGTACTCCACTGTGTCTTGGTCCAAGGTCCACGTGGGATGCTCTGGTCAGGTCCTCTGTGTCCACTCAGCATGATGGACCCAAAAGCAGGATTTCTGCCCTTCAGTGCCCTGGTGGGGGAACACCGGGGAAGAGGCTCCTTCCCTGGCAGGAGGACATGAGGCCCCTTGGACCAGGCTTCTCCTGGGGGCGTGGCTAATTGCTAGGCTAATTGCTAGGCTTCTCCCTGGGAGCGTGGCTAACCTGATAGGCTTTTCTCAGGGTCATGGCCAATCAGCTAGGCTTCTCCCAGGGGCATGGCTAATCTGCCCAGAACAAAAACCAGCCCTCAGGTACCGACCCCCCACCCAGGGGAATGGCGAAGGAGCAGTGCTGCCTCTCTCAGAGGGCGTCTGGAGAAGGCTCAGCTCTGGACTCAGGCCCCAGAGATGGACGAAACCAGAGTGGCAGGCAGTCCTCAGTTGCCTGCTGAAGCTGAAGATACTGGCCTGGAGGACTCCTGGTGTCCCCTCTGCGGTCAGACTCACGTGTGGGGCTGTGTGAGTCCCCAGAAACTTGGGCACCCACTGCACAAGGGGCTCACCCTTTCCATGCGGGGACCTGGCAGGACAAAGTTCTCTGACTGGGTCCCTAACTAGGGTGACCTGGGCCTGGGTTTGTGGTCGACAGCCGGTGAAACCCAGGTTGCTCCCAAAGGAACAGGGGCACCCTGCCCTGAAGTCCCAGCTCGGGGTGCAGGCCCCTCCCTCTGTGGTCCCCTCCCCCAGGCTGACCCATCCAGGGTCAGCAGGTCTGAGGATCACTGGGACCAGAACGGGGGTGGGGGAACAGGGCAGGACGTTACTGATTGAGGCAAAGTTGGTTTTTTTTGTTGTTTTTTTTTGAGTCGGTGTCTTACCCTGTCATCCAGGCTGGAGTGCACGGTGAAATCACGGCTCACTGCAGCCTCAATCTCCTGAGCTCAGGCAATCCTTCCGCCTCAGGCTTCAGAGTAGCTGGGACTACAAGCATGCATGCACTACCATGTCCAGTTAATTTTTTTTTTTTAATAGAGATGAGATCTTGCTAGGTTGCCTAGGCTGGTCTCGAAATCCTTGGCTCAAGCAATCCTCTTGCCTCGGGCTCCCAAAGTACTGGGATGACAGGGGTGAGCCACCGCGTTCGGCTCAGGGCAAAGATTTGTAAGTGGAATTGTGAGTTCGCCTTTTTCTAATGACGCTTCTTTGGCATTTGCAGGAGAACGAGGGCTTCCTGGAGCCCCTGGGAAGGCAGGACCACCTGGGCCCAAAGGTAATGATGGGAAGAGAGAGAAGAGGCCCTGAGCAGGACCCTCAGGTCTGTCTGTTAAGAACGGAGGAAGAGACAGAGAGAGAAATAGAGGAGAGACAGAAAGGGGGAGGTGGAGAGAGAGAGAGACAAAGAGAGAGAGGAGAGAGACAGATAGAGACAGGCCCTGTCATATCCCAGGCCTCAGCTTCTCCTTCCCCACCATCAAGAGCCAGGTACTTTAAACCTTAGGAAAGTGACACATGGTGGCCCACATCTGTAATCCCAGAAATTGAGGTGGAAGGATTGCTTGAGCCCAGGAGTATGAGAACAGCCTGGGCAACATAGTGAGATCCCATCTCTATTGTTATTAAAAATGTTGTTTTAATAATAATAAATTGGGCCGGACTCGGTGGCTCAGCCTGTAATCCCGCGCCTTTGGGAGGCTGAGGTGAGTGGATTGCCTGAGCCCGTGGGTTCGAGACCCGCCTGGGCAGCGAGACCTCATCTCTACAATAAATCAAAAAATCAGCTGGGCGTGGTAGCGCATGCCTGTAATTCCGGCTACTTGGAAGGCTGAGGCGGAAGGATCGCCAGAGTCCAGCAGGTCGAGACTGCGGTGACCAGGAGCGGCCACTGCACTCCAGTCTGGGCGACAGAGTGAGACTCCAACTCAAAAAATAATAATAATAATAAATTGGAAACAACAACAACAAACCTTTGGAGACCATCAGGCTAGGATTCAACCCTGGTGGTCACTGCCTCCTACTTAACCTCCCAGAAGTGCTGCCCTTGAGTGGGATCCCACACAGATGGGCCAGTCTCCCAGGTGACCAGCTGTTCTGACTGTCAGCATTTCATGCTCCTGCCTCTCTCTAGGAGCCCGAGGAGAGACGGGAGCACGTGGAGAGAAAGGTGAGCCATCCCCTGGCCCTTGAGAGGGGTGGGTGTCTCTTCAGGGGAGGGGTCCTCAGAGATCTCTGTCTGTCCACCCCTCCCCCTCAGGGAAGGCCTCAGACCCAAGTCTCTGCCCATCCAGGCTGTGGGCAGGGAAGGGTGGAAGGACCCACCCGACATGTTTTGTCTTCAGAGTCTGTGGGTCTCAACCCTCAGCATGTGTCAGTGGTCAGCCCACCTGATCAGCAAGACCCTGTGACTGCATAAATGTGGACACAGCAATATTTAATTTTTTGTCTAATTTAAGCTCATTTAGTCAAATAAATTATAAAATAAAAAATATGGCACAGCGGCTCACGCCCGCAATCCCAGCACTTTGGGAGGCCAAGTTGGGAGGTTTGCTTGAGCCCAAGCGTTCAATAGCAGCCCAAGCAACATAGTGAGACCTCATTTTTATTAAAAAAAATCAAACAATTGACCAGGCGTAATGGCATGCACTCAGGAGGCTGAGGCAGGAGGATCGCCTCAGCCCAGGAAGTCGAGGCTATGGTGAGCCATGATTGTGTCACTGCACTCCAGCCTTGGTGACAGAGAGAGACCCTGACTGAAAAAAAATAAAGCAAAATATGTACAAAACTCTAAGACCCAGTGACATGCTCTAAAAATAAAAATTGCAAGACTGGGGCAGGGACCCAAATACCAGATGCCACCAACACGTGTACCACCACAAGCAAGCTGTAAGGAAGAGGCTGGGATGAGCTTGGCATGATTCTGACGGAATTGGAAGAGTCGACTCTTGGCCATAATTAGTACCTGGAGGCCCCAGGCACGGGTCCAGTTAACACGGCATGACTGTCAGTGCTCACAGAGGAAAACCAGACACGGTGGGGGTGACATCAAAGGTATGGCCCGTGCTCCTCCGGGAGGCAGAGTGTAGCCACCCTCCATCAGACCTGGCTGGACCCTGTGCGTCCTGGGGTGACTGCTGTGTTCTTTTTTCTATGAAGGAAGAACCCCCAAAACCCGGAATTATCTTTTAGAGGGCGGGCTCCTTGTACAGATTTCTCCCGCGAGGGAGTTGTTCTAGGAACTCATCGGCATCGGTGGACCCGGTCATGTTATTAAAAAAAATCACACAATTGGCCAGGCATAATGAGGCTGTGTTCAGCTTCAGTGCATCTTTTCTGGAGATTCTTTCAGTGCATTTGCCTGTTTCATGATGGAGATTTATGAGTACACCTGCCCACTCCACGAGGAGCGTTCAGCAGTTTTTGGCCAAAAAGGGCATGACCCCCGTGCCCCAGTCTCCCTGTCATCAGATCTCACCCTGAGAGACTTTGGTTTGTTTGTTTCCCTGGATGAAAAAAGTCTTCAAAGGGAAACATTTGGCTGATGTGGAAGAGGTGAAACAAAAAACAGCAGAAGCACTAAAAGGCAACACAACTGATGGGTTCAAAAACTGTTTGAGCAGTGGACAAAAAGTCTCAGCAGGCGTATTGCATCCAACAGAGAGCACTTTGAAGGTGACTGAAGTTTCAACATGTAGGAATAAATACCGTTTTTAAAAGTTCTGGACTTTTTTGGCTGCCCCCTGTATTCTGTGTTCAGGGAGCACTTAGGGTGGATGGGACAAAGGCTCGGGTTTAAACTAATGACGGTGTCTCCTCTCTCTCACACAGGGGACACGGGGCAGGCTCAGTCTTGTGCTACAGGTGACTGATCAGGCCTGGACACAGGCGCCTGAGCTCGGGCCCCTCCCCAGGGCCAGCTTCACGCCCTCCTGCTGCAGAATCAAAGGACAGCACTCTCTGTACACACTGTCCTCCCTCCATTACGCAAGCAATGGGCAGCTATGGCCTGAACAGCTAGTACACTCCATGACAACTTTGGTAGAGGGGTCTTCAAACTGAGCCCAAAGGCCAGGTGCCTGGGAGACCAAGGTGGGGAGGCTGGGAGGTGGGAGGTGGTACTGACTGGGCTTGGCCACCAGAGCTGGGTACCCTGGGGGCTGTGTCTCTGTCGGGGCCTCGGAGCCCTCTTTTGCCATGCAGACACCCACCGTGCCTACCTCTCTCCAGTGGCCTCCCTCCTGGGGCTCCCCTCTCCTGCCCCCGCCCCTACTCAGGACCCCCCATCCTGCATCTGTTCGCGGGTTTCCTCCCCAGGCCCGCGGACCTGTAAGGACTTTCTCAACTTGGGGAACTCCTTGAGTGGCTGGTATACCATCTACCTGCCTGACTGCCGGCCCCTGACCGTGCTCTGTGACATGGACACAGACGGAGGCGGGTGGACTGTGAGTAAGGCTGAGTGTCTCCGGGCAGAGGTGGCCACTCTGGGGTCCCAGAGGCCTGGCCTCTCCTTGGCAGGAGAACACTCTGTGGGACTGTATATTTCTCTCTACCTCTAGAGTGATTCTTCCATTCCCCGAGGGTGAGGACAGTGAGAAATGATGGAAGAGGTGGACCCGTAGGACCAAGCTGGGAGGGACCCCCTGCTCCTGCCATGTGGCTTAAGGCTGATTGCCTGCCCTCTCTGATTCTTCTCCATGTCCTCTTCTATCACCTGGCCTCTGGGACAGGGCCAGGCAGGCCACTTGCAGCACTGGCTGTGAGCGGGGGAGGTCAGGTCCCCCATGCTGAGGCATGACAGCCGGGATCCCCACCTCTGTCTCTGCCCCCGTCCCCCATAGGTGTTCCAGAGAAGGGCAGACGGCTCCGTGGACTTCTACCGAGACTGGGCCATGTACAAGCGGGGCTTCGGCAGTCAGCTGGGCGAGTTCTGGCTGGGGAACGACAATATCCATGCCCTGACCTTCCAGGGTAAGACCAGCACCAGGGCTGGGGCTGGGGCCAAATGGAGTCGCTCTGCCCTATACCTGGGCAGTTGGGAACACAAGACCGGTCCTCTGGGCCCAGGGGTGAGACTCCGACATGCAGGGTCATGTGGGACACCCTGGGCGTGTGTCCTTTGCTGCAGGCTCTCAGAGTACCAGGACCCCGGTGTGTCAGGGCTCTGGGGGAAGACCCTTCCGGACTTAGCATCTCAGAACGGGGGAGTGGGAAGCAAGAGTGATGCCATGGGTTGGGGTAACATGTTCCCCCTCCGAAAGTTGCACTGTCTTTGAAGCTGGCACCTGAGTCCCATGGAAATCCTTCCCTGGCCTCTTCCATCTCAAGCCTGGGCAGGCCTGACCCACCCACACTCCCCGTGAGTGAGGGGTCCTCCACCCCAATGCTCTGGTGGAGGGTGTTAGCTTCAAGGCTGCTTCTGAGGCAAACAGCACAATTCCTATCCGACCACTACCCCATGGCATGATTGAGGGTAAGCCCTCATGTGCCCGAAATTCTTACAAAAGAAATTACATTCACAAAACCCTAAATGCACAGGCCATAAGAGATAAGATAGACAAGTGGGACCTCATTAAACCT